ATATATATATATATGTATTCTTTTTGAGATTCTTTTCCATTATAGATTAATATAAGATACTGAATATAGTTCCCTGTGCTGTAGAATATGTTCATCTATTAACTATGGGTTATTCACCTTAAGTAAAAACTATAGATTACTCTTCCAAGAATATTAAGTATCATCCCATGAGGAGATAAAAGAATGGCTGCCACGTAGGGGGAACTGAGGTCACTAAAAGACCACCCTGGAGCCACTTGCTTGTATCTCTGGAAACATCTTGTTACAGATCAAGTCCATGAACATGATTCATTCAGAGCAGGTGCTCAGCTATTATCAAGTGAACACATTAGTATCAGGTGGTTGGTAGGGTGGGCGAGCCATCACTTAGGGAAGCAGGAATGAGGGAGTGGAGACACGGTCTCTTTTGAGAATCCTGTCCTCATTTCCACTGGGCTCCCTGGCGCCTTGGGTTTGCCCACCATGCTACTCATCTTGCTGCCTGTGTCCCCCACTGGCATGTGAATTCTTTAGGAGTAGAGCTATCTTTAATCTTCACGAGCCCTGTACTCAGTCTCATGCCTGGTCCAAAATGAGTGTTGCTGAATGAATAAGTTAGAGAATGAATGCTGTTGGTTAGTTGCTCAGTCGTGTCCAACTCTTTGTGACCATAGGGACTGTAGCCTGCCAGGCTCCTCTGTCCATGGACTTCTCCAGGCAAGAATATAGGAATGAGTTGCCACTTCCTTCTCCAGGGAGGGAATGAATGAGTGAGTGGATAAAATTCCGTTTGGCTCAGGGTAGGAGAGGAAGTTGGGTGTGGCTCAGGCAGCTGTTCTGATTTAGGTTCTGGGCACCTGAGACAAGGGAGGGAGGAACTGGGCTCTGAGGGGAGGGGCAAATTTTACAAAAATTCTTACAATTTTTTCCAATGTCTAAGAGTAAGCAGTTTTTAAAAAAAATATTTAAAAACATTAAATTTAATATTTAAATATAAAATATTAAAGTTTAAAATATTAAGATTTAGTTGTAGCACATAGGATCTTTGGTTGCAGCATACAAACTCTTAGCTGTAGCATGTGGGGTCTAGATCCTTGACTAGGGATCAAACCCTGGCCCTCTTCATGGGAGTGTGGAGTATTAGCCACTGGACCACCAGGGAAGTCCCAGATCGTTTTACTAAAATAAAATTTTAAAGGTATAGTATTCAAGTACGGAGGCCATGTTTCAGTCAATAGCTCACTGTCATTCCTCAGTCTGTGGTCCAACGTTTCCCATGAGCTGGTCTCCATAAAGCCTTTCTTCCTACTCCTACACTGCAGCCAATCTGCACTGTCCAGTTCTTCTACCACCTCGCTGAGCAGCCACAGTGGAGCTGAGAAGGCGGTGAGTGGTCCTGAGTTCAGGTTCCACATCGCAACTTACTACCTCTGAGTCCCAGAGCCAATCACTTTGCTTCTCTGAATCTTAGTTTCCACATCTAATAGAACACTTGTTTGGGCTTTGGTTTTCTCATCACCAGTAAAATCTACCTTGTGATCATTATAAGGATTAAGTGAATTTATATATATATATATATAACACTCATAGCATTGTGCCTGTTATCTTTTTTCTGAATACCTATGGGACTTACCACTCTCTTCCTGGTGGCTCAGTGATTATTAAAACTCAGTGTTTTATTTCTCCCCTGTCTGGAAGTTCCATGGGGGCAAACTGTCCACTTTTTAATCTTATAGTTCAATGAAGCACCTAGCAGAATAACTTGCATATAGCAGGTGCTTAAAATAATGGACTGAATACGTGCAAGACAATTCTCTATACTTAGTAGATCATCACCCAATTTTTCTTAGGATGGGGGTGGCATATGTAATTCATCTTTCCACTTAATCCATATTAGGGAAAAAAAGCAGGCCTCATTGCAAGTAGCTGACTTTACATAGCATCCAGAGAAATCTCCAGAAAGCTATAAATAATGACTGGTCACATGGGCAATTATAATAAAGCCTTGTCAAGGGCTAGTCACATTTCTAAAATTGTGAAAAGAAATGCTCAAATGGAGAGGAATATTTCTTGAAGGCTATACTAGTCCCCTATTGCCCATAATATCTTCATCATACTTCCTTAAATTGTGTAACATGGAGATGCTATAAATCACAGTTATTATTATTTTCAGCGAGAGGAAGAATTTGAAAGCCATGCATGGCTGTTGCCAGGTCTGAGGTTACTGAGCTGGCCTTGAGTCTTTTAGATGGAATCCCAGAGTTAGGCTTAAGCCAGGACTGGCTTGTCGTGGAGGCAGCTGCCAAAAGGGTGTAATCTGAGGTGACTGGATGGAGACCCACCCCGCCCCCACCCGCTGTTCCAGTCATCCCTTCTATGAGTGCCTGAGAGGGATTGCTATGTGTTCGGAAAACTTGTGAGTCTTTCAAAGGTTACTACTCTAGATAAAGGATAATGCCTTAACCAGCATTTCTAAAAGAGTCCCACAAGAGGCTCCACGGAAGAATGGTTTCTCTGACCAAAAAAGCCTGGGCAATAAGGCAAACTCTATCCCTCTGTGTGCATGCTAACTTGCTTCAGTTGTGTCTGACTCTTTCTGACCTTTTGGACTGTAGCCTGCCAGCCTCCTCTGTCCTTGGAGTTCTCTAGGCAAGAATACTGGAATGGGTTGCCATTTCCTCCTCCAGGGGATCTTCCTGACTCAGGGATTGAACCCGTGGCTCCTGCGTTGCAGGCTCATCCTTTACCACTGAGCCACCAGGGAAGCCTCCATCCCTCCATATGCTGCAGGCACATGGAAGGCTCTGACAAGTCACATGGTAAAGAAATCTGTTCAGCTTAATTCAGAAGCTCTCCCGCTTACTTAATAACAAAATCAAGCTTGCTTTCTTTTTTTCTCCCGGATGGCTGCAAAATCCCTAATGACATGATCTGATAGTAGTATTTCATAGAATGTACTTTAAAAATGCTCCCTTAGCTACTATTAGCTATCACTGTAAATGGGATGAATTTTCAGCTAAGAATGGGACACAAAGGGATATGCATGAAGGGATGGGCAGTCCAGGGAAGGATAAGGAATCTTAAAGGTGACCCATGAAGGTCCCCAAACACAATTTTACAGTTTTGCTAAGGGCTGGTCATGCTTCTCCTGTTAGACATTATTTTGACTATGTCTGCCTGCCTAGAAAGCCCAGCTGTTTGATATCAATTGGTATCATCAGATCAGAAGCAGCACTTTTGCATCTTCATGTGATGTTGAATTTTCTGGTGTGGGGAAGAAGAGAAAGGGAGCGCTCCAATGGCAGTTTGCTCCCATAGATGTGGAAGGAGGAAGGAAAGGAAGGGTAAAGGAGAAACAGGTCAATAGAAGCAACAAGAAGCCAGAAGCAGCTCTGGTAACAAGATGCTAAGGGCGGGAGGCAGAGGACAGGATGGAGGAATGAGAGAGAATGAGGGGTTGTGACTACTCAGGTAGAAGGTAGCAAACCCACTGGCCACTCAAGCCATGAAGCTTAGACTGAGGGCTGTGAGATGCTTGGAAAAGCAATTAAATTATAAAGTCAGTGAGTCCCAAAGTTTTGGCCTCCCAAGCCAATCACCAAGAAAAATCAAAGTGGTTTGAAGACATGGACTGAAAATAATAGCTGGGACAGGAGCCTTCCTTTAAGGCAGGGACTGCTCTTTCTGTCCCTGTGGTGGTAGGATACTGATGCTTGTAGCTTTCTGCCTTTGGGGCTTTCATTGCCCAAGGATCTGCACTTCCCCCACGTTGTTGGGAGGGCCTTGGGCTGCAACAGAGCCCAGTCCGAGATCCTAACTGTGGCCCGCTGCTTTAGAAAACACCATCATGGTTAACTGACAGCACAGAGATAGAAGTAAAGAAGGGCCCCAGAGTTCTGCAGAAGCCAAAGTGGGGAGGGGCTGGGAAGGGCCTTCCTCTTACCGAGGGCTGTCTGATGTTCTGCCTCCTGCATGCAAAGCAGCTAGGAGATCTTTGGCAAACTAAGGCAACTCAGAAATACTAGAAGCCGAAAACAAGATATGCAACACTTTGGGGAGTTTCTCTCATGTTGAAGGACAAAATGAACTGATTCCCCTTCCTAGGGTACCTTTGGCTTTCTTGTCAGTATCAGTGAAAAAAGCACGTGAAAACTCCAAATGTTTTCTTAACTTACAAATATTATTTATTGGTCAAAAAGTGGGGGTATGTGTGGGATTAGGACAAGAGGACAACTCCTTTTACCAGAACGCAAAATTTTCAAGTTGCTGTTGCATGGTGTACTTTTTTCAGAAAAGTCATTCTGACTGGGGGAAGACTGTGCCCTGGGACAGTGTCTGGAATTGTAGATACACTGAAAAATAAATCTCTGCCAGACTTCATTTACTCAGGGGAAATGTTCAAAATGATATGTCCAATCTCACACGGTGTGAACTCCAATATATACAGCTCCACTGGCTGGAACGATGACCCTGGCCTCTCTCAGATGAGTTAGCATGGGCTGTGGGAGAAAAGGACAGAAGCCTACAGTCGTCTGCATCAGAAACAGATCTCCATTTTGAAACTAGGGATTCCTGTAGATTGATCATTCCTTTGCAAAAATCAGAATATCACCAGATGATACATATCTCCCCCCACCCCAAAATTAGGGGCATATTAAAAGGAAGTGTTGGTCCGATGTATTTTTCTATGTTGTAAGCATGTGGAGGAACTAACGGTGACCCAGTGGGTGTGGGCTTGTGTTTACATTGCTGACACCATTTCACTGAGTGCATTACACGACTGAGATGGTTTGGATCGTTCGAATGGAATAACATGATCACCCATGGTATTGCATGTCTCCAATTCCAAATCAACACAATGGCAGAAACTAGACGAAAATGCAAAAAGAATAATAAATCACACAATGTCACTGAAGTCATGCAAAGAGGGGGAAAATAAAGACTAAAAAAATGGGCAAGCCACAGACACCATAAATTAAAAAAAAAAAAGCCAATGCATACAATTCTAAAATCATTCTTACCTTCTTCAGTCATTGTGTCATAATATTTTAGTTTTCCATATGATCCAAGTTCTACAACATCACAGTAAAAGACACAAAGATAAGGAACGAGCTGTAATGCAAGAACTTTGTTTTTTACACATTCTTAATTAATCAGATTCAGAGTTATACTGTCAAATTCTGCAATCGTAACTATATAGAGATGTGCAAACATGGGCCATGTGGCAGACGGCTTTCACGGCCCATTTTCAGAAATCACTTAAAATATATTATTCCACTGGGGGTAGGACGTGCCCTGCATTACAGAACAGGACACAGTTATTTTAACATCTGATGAAACAGAACACTTGGAGAAGATACCTTCACAGCAGGTCCAGCCTTGCCCTGTCATTTTTAGAGATGATATGCCAAGAGGAAGGGCTGGACAAGAGACCCTTTCGAGGTTTGTAGAGACCCACTGGGGTGTGTAGATGCCGGCATTCCTTGCCAGGAAACAGCAGTCCCAGGAGTTCATTTCACAGCTTTTCTCCAACAGAGCTACTTCCTAGAGGTTAATAAGGAAGGAAGGCTACCTGGCAAAAACCCCAAATGAAAAACCATGTTCTAAACTTCCCTTTCATTTCTAATCTCATATTTCAGGCAAAAAGTACTGAATACCATGGGTGCACATGCTTGGAAGGGCTGGGAAAGGTGCAAAAGACTTTGGGAAGAAGTGGGAGGTATGCTCCCAGGGAAGAGCAGGTGGCCCAGACCAGCCACAACGCCATGCTCAGGGCATCACCTGCTGCTGGGTAGCCCGCAGGGGCCAGGAGCCAACCTCCTGGATGCAGCTCAGCAAAGGACTCGGCTGTGATGGAAACCACTGGCAGAATGCAAGCTTGTCTGAGTCAGCTGGTAGGAGCAGCATCTTGGGTAGGGGGATGGAAGAGGTGGGGACACACCATTTCTGTTTTCTTACTTCAGTTCTGAAATAGAAACTTTCATTCCTTTCATCTGAAAATTCCAGATTGTTTGAAGCAATATTGTGAGCAGGTTAAAAATATTTTCCTGGTCATCACAACACTCTCCCAATAAACTAAGACTCGAGAGATACTCCTGTGATTCTGTGGAGTGCTTCCATGGCTCATTAACTTGGTGGGCTGCTAAAAACTCACATATGAATGAACTAATAACTGATGGGTTTTGTGTACAAGATAAGGCTCTAGTTTAAAACACAATAATAAATATTCTTCTCTGTATAGTATATATTATACACATTCTTTTTCCATGTGCCTAAAATTTTACCTAAAGCTTTACCTAAAGCTATTTTAACACACTGATACAAAATTATGCCTCGGGGAGAAAAATCACCTCATTTTTATGTTTCTGCAAAAGCCTGCCTATTCTGGATTTTGTAAGACCCATGACAAAGGATGCAAGTGCTTCAATAAGAAATTGAATTGTGCGTCAAAACAAGAAGGCTTTTAAAAAAACTGACTTCTAGGGACTGCTTTCAGTAAAAAAACATTTTTTCTGCCATTTTAAGAATAGTAGTCTATTATATATGTGACACTGCCAAAGTCTGGGATTTTAAGGTGATCTAAATTCCTTCATAAATATTAAACACATGTTCAGGGTGGCTTTACACATAATCTACGCCTTGTGTGTGTGTGGTTTGATGTGTATGTATAATCCTGCAGTAAGCTGATGAATTATACCAGCCAACTAACTTTTTGTAACCTCCACTCTTTCCCTGAGGTAAAGCAGGCAAATAAGCAGCTGGCATTCTCTTTATTTGCCAAGGAAACAGAATGTGGGCAGTTCGTGAATGCAAAGTTGGGTCAAAACCATATTTCTGCACTTTGGAGATACACTACTGCATTTTTGTCTTTTGAGATGCTACCTCTCTGTACACACACACACCAGTCTTCATGTATCAGCCCCAAACTTTCAAACATCTGCTAGTGACAGATGTGATTAAGTTTTTACCTCTTGTCTCATGGAGCCAGGTATAAACACATACAATCATACTCTTTGATTAATTTATTAAATTAATACCAACATGGTCAAAATTGGATCCAGAGGTGGCTGACAAAACTCACACATTCTTGATGCTGTGGCAATTCCCAGATTGTTCCTTAGCTACTTCCTTCGATGAGGACCAGGGAAGGGGGATAAGAACTGGATAGGATATATCAAAAAGGAGGCTAAAGGTGCTGAAAGAGAAGGAATAAGAGCAGTGAAAGGCTCAATGATAACAGGTGATGGAGTGACTTGAAGCACAGTGAAGAAGGTGGGCAAGGAAACAGTATTTGCCCAAGTGAAGAGAAGCATGTTTGGTGCTTACTTAAAAAAAGGTACACGAGAATGTGAAGGAAACCAGTCTGTTGGAATAGAGTTTTTATAGTTGACCTCAATGGGATAGTGAGACAGTGAACTCGGCACCTCAGTGCTTTCAAATGGTCAGGGTGGTCTCTTGGGGCTGGTGGGACAGTATCTCCAAGAGCTGGCATCTCCCTTCCTTGAACCAGGGGCTCAGAAGGTGCTGGAAGAGGGGTGCACCATGCGACCAGGACAGACACAATGCGCATCCATAAGTCAGAGCACATTTGCACCTAGCTAGCCTCCCACAGCCTACAGACACCTCATCGAAAGCAGCCTGAGAGGCATGAATGAAAACTCACCTGCAAGGGGCAGTGGGCTCCCGTCAGCACACTCCCCATGGAGAGCAGCCATGGCAACTTCAGCACCATTGGATTAGGATTCAAACTGGTCCCAATCCAAGCTGAATTTCTTGGGATAGGAGGGAGGAGGGAGGGGTTCAAGAGGGTGCTGTTTAATACCATTGAATAACTTCCATTATGTCAACTGAGCAAGAGGAAAAGGGATGAATCAGTAGTGAAGATCATCCTGGTTACCACCTGGTGCCTCGTCTCTGTAACATTTCTCTAAGAAAAGCCTAAGAAAAAGTCCAGAACCCAGTGACTGGTGTTTGAGATGAGCCTATGAGCTGATCAGCTGCCTAACATGGCATGATTGCTCCTGCCATTTGGGCAGCTGGATCCATGGGCGTCCAAGCTCCTGGGTCTCTAGGAGAGCCTGAATCTATTGTCATTCCTCTGCCCACTTCCTCTCAGGCCTTCCAGCAAGGTCATTACCAGGCTTTAAGGTACCTCTGAATTCTTGTCCATACATCTTGGTTGATAAGTCAAGGAAAAGATCTTCAGTCTCCAAGGATCTGTGACTAAGAATGAGTGCTTTATGGCCCCTATTTCTTCCTTTCTTAAAAAGGGCATGGACACAGATTTCTCCTTCCAACATTGACCTTCTCAGCTCCACTTTTGGAACCTCTGGCATTCTCAACCCTTTTCTCAGCAAATTTCCCCAGACAGGAGCAGCACCTTTCAGGCCTCAAAATTCTGACATATAAAACAGAAAGTCAATGGAAAAATCTATGCTGAATTCATTTTGTTAGAATAAAGAGGAGAGGTAGAGAAATCAGTGAAAGCAACATTCATTAAGTGTGGTTGATGGAAAAAATAACTTGTGTGTTTTCTTAAATCAAAGAGTTGCTTTACTTTTGACACTGAGGTTGTAGATCTAAAATTTAGATTTTAGATTTTCTCAACACAGAGATTAGTTCCTTGGTAAAGTTGTCTAATACCTATTAAGGAAGTATGCAGATATCAGATTACATCACATCCAGGAAAGGATTATTTTCAGTAGCTAAAAGAAGTTAAGAACACAGGCTTTGAAGCAAGGGTATAGGTTTGAACCCAAGGTCTCCCACTTTTTAGCTGTGTGACTTTGAGCAAATTGCTTTGCCTTTCTAAGCCTTGGTGTCCTCAGCTATAAAAGGGCATGCTTGTATTAATATCTACCTCACAAAGCTGTGGTGAAGAGTAGGTGAGATAATAATACCCACTAAGCAATCAATAATGAGCAGCTTCATTATTGCAAGCATCACCAAGAACAGTGAAAGAGAATCTATGGCACGTGGAGCAGAACACATAAAAAACTTGCTATTTTACACAGGTTTGTTGGAACTAATTCAACAGTATTTACAGAAGTTTAAAATAGCTAGCGGTGTCCAACAATAAAAGATATTCTGCTATTTGGGCTAGAATTTAAAAGAAATTTCTTCATCAGTCCTGCCCTTCTACTCTCAGATCTGTGAAGAATGTCAAAACATGGACCATAACCATGGGAACAGGATGTGAAAAGCAGACCCTTCATTCATCTGATCACCAATGTTCCAGCTTGGGACCTATGCACCCTCCCCTGTAATATTTGCAAAGTCTGTCTCTCCAGTTAGGATGTCCATATCTTGGAGACAGACTGTATTCCTCTTTGGATCCCTCCCAACTAGAACAGTGCTTTTTGTGTATCACATGTGCTCCTCATATTTCTTAATCAAAGCATATAAATGCACAGCTCCCAAATAACAGTGCTTTGGGTTGTTGAACTTCCCTGGACTTGCTGAAGTCAGGACGGCAGGCACTGATACTTATGGCTTCTGGACTGCTGATTCCATAATATCACTATCAAGGTTAAGAGGGGTAGGGGAGGGGTAGTTTGGGATTAGCAGATGCAAGCTATTATATATAGAATGGATAAACAACATGGTCCTATGTGTATAGTACAGGGAACTATATTCAATGTCCTGTGATAAACCATAGTGGAAAAGAATATGAAAAATAATTTATGCTTGTGTAACTGAATTATTTTACTGTACAGTAGAAATAAACACAACATTGTAAATCAACTTTACCTCAATAAAATAAACTAAAAAAATAGAGTGCTTCTGAGTGAGACAGTTAAGATAGTTAATTCAAAGGTTGGTTCTATGACTTATGAGCTGGTGATCTTCTTTGCACCTTAGTCTCTTCTTCAGTAAAATAGGGACAAGAACAATAAATACCTATTCCCAGGAGGGTTTTTGGAAGATCAGATAGGAACATATCTAAAGCACTTTGTGTCACGTGGCACAGGTATCCTTAATAATTGGTACTTCTTCCTTTTTTTTTTTTGCATTTATTGACTGTTTATTAGTACTCAAGCAGCTCCACATGCTCTATTTAATTAAACCATAC